GGTTGTGAAGCCTGGACTATCAGAGCAACAGAGACAATGAAGCTAGTGACGTTCGATCATCGTTGCCTTCGCAGTTTAGTTTACATCTGAGGGAAGCCTCATGAGCAATAGCCGCCTTCAGCGTCTTGTTTATGACTTAGAAAGAAGTGAACCGCCCAGCCCCATTTCTTTACACAGTAGGCTCCGATGGCTGAGCCATGTGTAACACACGCCTGTATATCGACTTCCAAGAAGTATGTTATTTGCGCGACCGGGGTCTGGATGGAAGGAGAGGAGGGCCACTGATTACATGGTCAAGAGGAATGCGAATTCACTTCCCACTTGGTTTCGGTTAGGGCCTCCCGGTCCCGTCGTTGGGACCGCTTGTCGATATGGCGACAAGCCGACCTCAGAGACGTTTGTACTGTTTCTTTGTCCCTCCCTTTCTCATTCATAGCCCCCCTTCAACCACGATCTCGGTGTCGTTGCATAGTAACGAATAGAGCATAATACAGTTCGTCTCAATTTTCGTTAGTTTGATTTTTGCTTTTATCCCTTTTCTTTCCTTCCACTTACTTGTATTGTTTCGCGGCACAGTTAAAAGTGATGATGGTGCTCTTAGTTTTGTTTGCCGCTTGACCAATTCTCCGCCATTTTGAAACGACTTTAAAATCGGACTATTTTACTTTTATCTCCACCATCAAATGGCTGCTGCCTTACTTGCACTTACAAGACTGGGAATGCTAAGTTGTTCAGATAGTGAGGCTCAACTACATGATGTATCCTAATGTTTCTACCTCGAGTGTGTGATTAACACCTTATTCTGTTAAAATAAACTGTTATCCTACATGTGCGCGAAAAGGTGTTCCCATGAAATATGCGAACATTTTACGTGCTCTATGATCGAACATCACAGGCCCATCAGGGTCTACGGTGATTTGTCGGATGCCTTTTCGACAACAAGTGGCTTTTGTCAGGGTTGTCCAATTTCCCCGATTTTGTTCAACTTCCTTGTGGACTCCATCATGAAGTGTCCCCTAGCGGAGTCTCACAATGCAGGTGTCTAGTCGCTGCCTGTTGAAAGGCTAGTTGATCTTGATTATGCGGACGATATCATCTTGCTGTTTAGCCTCTCTAGAGTGGTTCCATTATTTGGTAGGCACTTTGCACCTTCAAAGTGCAAAGTGTTGCTGCAGGGGCACCTACCACTTGGTGACTTCTTGACCCTTGGTGGAAATTAACTCGAGGTATTTGCTCCTTTCACTTATCTTAACAGCTGTATCAGCAACTATGGGCGCATAGCAACTGAAGTCAGTTCACGCATTGCAAAAGCTAGAACTGTCTTTGAATCTGCGGCGTCTGTGACGTCAGAAAGGAGTTCCCCTCCATCTAAAAGGTCGCGTTTACTGGGCCACCCTGAGGACCTTCCTACTCTATGGGAGCGAGACTTAGCCCCTCCGGTCTGAGGACCTGCGGCGCTTTCAGGTCTTTGATCATCGTTGTCTGCGAAGCATTACTGGTGTCGGGTCGCACCAGCGTGTTCGCAACGACGATGTGCGTAAGCGAGTACTAGGCCGTGATAACAACAGACAGCACTGCATAAGTTGCATTGGCTTGGGCACGCACTACGCATTTGGTGGTCTCAGTGTTCGATGAGCTTGCAGTCAACCTGCCGAGCTCAGCGAACACTGAGACCACCAACTGAACAACCTGAGCTACCAACATTTGCTTCCATAACGTACTACGCATGCCCGGTCACCGCTTATCGAGGAAAGCCTTGTTTTGTCTGCCTGATGTAGGTTGGCGAAAGGCCCGACGTGGACAGAAGTCGAATTGGCAGTGAGAAATGAAGGCACTGACGATCAAACTCGGTGCTATCAGTCCGTCTCACCTTCCAGGCTGGAGCTAAGCCTTGGGCTTGGCTCGAGACGCTACGGGACATGGCTCGCAGTCGGCAACATTAGCGCGTCTGCTATCGTCTCTTAATCGGACTGCCTGTTTATGGTGTGTTTGGTGCTGAGTTATCCGCGGAGTAATGGCTGATTATGATGCGGGGCAATGAAAACCGCAAGGAAACTGTCTCACCGATCCCGCGTTATATTTGCACGATAGCCAGCTGTTTGTGATGGTATGTTATTGACAAGGTGTATGCACGTTGATCCTGAGTGTATGTTTAGGGCATTGTGGTTTTACATCAGGTTCCGGTTCTCTCCAATCTCATTGTTTTTCGTTCCGTTGGTCGTTTTGGTTGTACGGCAGCGAAGCATCAGTTTGAATTGCTGATGTAACGCTGTTGATGATGATAAAATGTGCTCGGTTTACTAGCTTAGCTGTCTTTTGTTTCACAGCTTAGACGACATCGAAGCAGCTCAAAAGCTCATTCCACCACCGCAACTTCTCCTCATACTGCCATGTTGTCATTCACTGCATCGGGCTCACCCAACCGGCAGCAGAATATGCACAGCACTTGCAACATCACATCTCGGTTCACCGTATCGGATATTTTGGGGAAGTCTAGAAGGGCGCCTATCACGGTTGAGTTTGTTCACCACATCACTACTGCCTTTGGCTCCCTGCGAACCCTAAGTCGGTTATGTCGAGTCCCGCTAGCATATCGAGACATTTTCTGGCTTCAGGTACATTGTAACTCAACTTTTGGGTAGGATCTGAACCCTCACATTATCCCTGCAAATCAACTGACTGGTTAGAGCATCTTTTGCACCCTGTTACCGTTTCTTTTGTATTTCGGTGGTGCAATATCATTATGCAACACACCGGGCACTTACACATCCATTAATGCTTACTCTATCAATTATTATACCACAGAAGTTGACAGTGATCCCCTTTCAATACTTCTGGGATAACTCAGCCATTTTTCCACTTTACATTTTAGGATGCGCACTCGCTGCACTTTACTCAAACCACCCAGTTGCCTAGCGTATTCTTTGTTCTATCGATGCAATTTGCGTGACGTTGCCGAATCGATTACATCTACGTGTCTTCGAAGCAACGTGCCTTTTACTACTGTTACCTTTTTTCTGGCTCGATTAGTGGGCTCATCAAATTTTACGCTCGGTCTTGTGCATCGAAATACTTAGCTCGGTCTCGAACGTGTCATACAGTGCTAACGGAACATTTCATTGAGAGTTTAACTGGTCTTACTAGTTGATCTGATAAGTGCCAAATATTGTTGTAAAACCCCACCACCAAACCGAACCTGTTGGAGCCATTTTGGCTGACATTGCCTTCCTTTCGGCATAAATGTATGAGACAATCATTGTCAGAATGTGCAGACCCAAGGCACTTAATCAAGTCAATTCCGAAGACCAGCGCAATCTATTCCTTCACAGCTGCTAGTCTCTGTCATTGTGATGTTTTCTCTTTGGGGTTCATCAATTGAATTTTTACTAAGCCTTTCCGATGTAATTTTGACTCGTCCAACATGTCGAGATGTCTAGTAGCTAGCACTAATGATACACTTTCAATTACTGGCTGACCAGACTGCCTGTTTAAGCTTTGTGCAAGGCTGAGTAGTTTGTAAGGATTAACCATACGACAGAGCAGTCAGGGCCACAAGGTAGCCGTCCCACTGATGTAGTCTTATCTTCTCCCGATGGCCAACTATTAGAACTATTCACTGTTGATAGGTTGTTGATTTTCTACCTTTGATTATTTGCTTTGGATACATAGGTTTCACCCTAGGTGCCATTCTATCCCTTTAATTAATTTTCCTTGCTAAAGTTATCTTGGTTATGTCTTTCAGCAAAAATCAGTCAAAATAACCGATGTACTGCTATTGGTGTGCTTGCCTGCTTAACCCTTCTGATGGCTGGTAACAACCTACTGGGACTCAACACCATGTTATTTTACTGCTTCCTCCCAGATGCTCACAGTCCAGATAGCCTAACCGTAGTCCGGAAAAGCACTAGACAGTCGTTTCACTCTGTTGGTGCTCGGTCCCCTGCGGGGGATCGAACCCATGGCCGTTATCAGATTATGCCACTCATTCATCGGGGACGGAAGCAGACCATCATAACTTGCAAGCCACTGCCATGCAGGTTCCTACCATTGCAGAAGGCATTGGCTGGCTTCTCAAGGTTACGACAACACATTTGAATTAATTAAAACATTTGCCTTCACAGTCTTCAAATACCATGCGGAAATAACTGCTATGTAGTGGAATTCACAACCTTGGGAGGCTAGTCACTGTCATCTGCAATGGTAGGTCGGACTGTATCCCATTTAGCCTGTAAGTTATATCGGTCTGCCTCCGTCCTCCATGAATCATTGGCATATGCTGCTAGTGACCTTGGTTTTGATCCCCCGCAGGGGATCAAGGGAATGCGCACCACTGGCAAGTCCCAACAGAGCGAACCGGTTGTCTGGTGCTTTTCCCGACTGCGGTTAGGCTATCTGGCTTGTGTGCAGCTGGGATGAAACAGTATAATTTCATTAAAATCATCATGCTCTCAAGTAACCATGTTATGTTTTTTAAGCATGATTTCCGATTATTTTACTGTGTATACTGTTCCACATCCTGTTTTCATTTTTATTGATACCAACCCTACGCGACGTTGACATGTGTACTCTAGTCTTCTCATCGGTTAATTTCCAAACCCAGCCAATTCCTTCATCAGTACTCTAACATGTTGTTCACCGTAAGGTTTATTGGGGTGATAAACACGAAATGCTCCCTATTTTGTCTTTCACTTTATTTCCGCCATGTTTTAAATGCAGAGAGTAGCTCTGTACCAAAGGACCTCTCCACTAGAGAAGCATTGATGTAGGATGTCCACCTCGCCTAACTTTCGCTCACGGATTCAACATTGGCTGGTGTTTCATCCTACCCCAAGTAGCTGATACACGACTTACGTTTTCGTTCTTTTTACCTTTACCATTTTTCTATGGTGCTGTACTGAATCGGGACATCTTACTAGAGTTGACTTTGTCGGTCCCCATACCAATAAATCAATGTACTTATATAACTTATCTTCGCTAACGTTTTCGTCTTTTTCGTATAGGGCCAAGGTTAGCGATAAGATCGCACTGATCAAGAACATGCTGGATATCGTGAACGAACTGATCATAACTGGTGGTATGGCCTTTACCTTCCTGCACAAGTTGTACAATATGAAGGTAGAGAAATCTTGTGTCACTCACCGTTTCTCTATACATTTTCTACCTTTGTCGTGTTCATATATATGCTTATACTCTACCTATGTCCTCTCTTGTGTCCGTTTGTGTCCTCGGGTTCACTTTCGGAGTTCTTGGCATCTCTCGCACGTTACAATACATATTCACACAGCTCTGAAGATTTTCCTACTCCCATTTTAACTTCCATGTGGGCGGTCCTTGAATTGTGGCGCGCAACCGCTCGTGCAAGTTCCTTTTGAGTACCTTTTGATCTAGACAGGGCGATTCTAGTGCCAGATTTACTGAAGTGCACACTGAGGTTTGTAACCGACTTTTTTAACTGTGCCGCTTTTTCATCTCCTTTTTGTTCCGTTGTCTACTGTTGTTCCACTTGACTTACCATATTGCCTTTCTCTTTATGTATCAATTGAGACGGAAGTGTTCCACTGTCTACACCGAACCCTCTAATCTGTTCTTTAGTCTCATGCGCGCTGATCGTGATTTGAGGTCGATTCGTTTGGTTGTCTACTCAGATATGCTTCTGCGTTTACACCAGTCAGCCCTGGTGTCGATAGGCCCTGAGTACTGTGATTATTTTGCTGAGGTGCTTTCTGGTATCCATGCACCGTTATGTCTATGTCCATTTGTGCTTACCCAGCTTGACTCTTAACACGTTTCTCCTCTTGTCGTAAATTCGTTATCGTTGGTGTTAGACCAACTGTTACTCCAGCCAGGAATCGTGCGACACCTGCTCCCCTCCAATCTATCGTCGTCCGCTTTATTCTAAGACTGGTGGCGTGATTCACTTTTAATTCCTGCACAACGTCGAGATTTGCTTCGTGATGTTGTACCTTTTATTGCATTTTTATTTTTTCCATTGTTTCTAATCTAAGCTTTTGCGTGTTTCCTTATGGGATTGTCCGTGTTATCGTCGTCGTTTTAAAATCCCTTAATCATTTTTTTATCGTGTGAGACATCTTACACTATCAAACCTGACTTATACGAAACTGCCTGGATCAACTTGTCGTCAGCCTGCGTTCTTCCTCCAGTTGGATGTAGCTGAACCTCATGTGTGAATCGATAATCCGACTTGCCATGATGCACTTCGTTTCAATGCAGTATTGCAGCCTTCTTATCCTGCCGTAGTTTGGTTACGTCACTGCTATAGCTCAGCTGTTATTGATCGTTTCAATGCTCGCTTCTTTAGAGCATAGAACGGGACAGCTAATAATAAGAACTAACGTGTCAGTTGTACGTCGTAACGGCGCTTCGCTGCCGTGCGACCACCACCATTCGCGCGCGAGCTGCGTATACCGCGAGGACGCTTACCCCTACGCGGATTCGAACCCGCGCCGGAAGAGTATGAGACAAGCTCGTTACCTCTAGGCTACGGGCCGACAACAGGACAGCTAAAATGCATGGAACTACTACGGTCCCATATCTCGTTTCTTAGGTGGCTGGCTTTTGCCTTTGTATCTTTATTACGATAGTCTCGACTTCGTACTCACACAATAGGGCTCTCATCTTTTGGGCTCCATGCTTGCAATGTATCCACCCGTATCGTGCCACTTTCTAGCGTATCTGCTCTCTTCACTCCCCACTGCCAACCATGTCTACTTTAGATTGGGAAAAGTCTTTACGATGAGCCTGGTTCCGCCACAGTCGAAGAGGTGATGCAGTTGGCGAAGACTAAGAACGTGCAGATTCACCTCCCAATTGATTTTATCACTGCGGACAAGTTTGCCGAAGACGCACACACCGATCTCGCTACCGTTGAATCTGGAATCCCGGATTCCTGCATGGTGAGCCCGTTGGTTTTTCCCTATGACTACACCTTGCCTGCTAAGGTAGCGTTTGTCATTCCACTACCTATGGATTGAGATTTCTTGCTTCACTCTTCTTATGTTTTCTTCTCATCTTTTTCATGCTATCCTTTTGGTGCTTACCATACTTTTCCTCCAGGGACTCGACTGTGGTCCGAAAACGATGGATAAGTTTTGCGAAGTAATCGGCCGTGCCAAAACTATCGTATGGAATGGGCCCATGGGCGTTTTTGAAATGGAAAAGTTCTCAAGTGGTACAAAAAGAGCCATGGATGCCGTGGTGGCTGCTACTGCGAAGGGATGCACTACCATTATTGGTAAGTCATTTATTTTCCACGCATCTCAACTAACTCGTCACCATCTATGGTCTGATCTCATCGCTCTGACACAACTTATCGAAACAGGATGGCAACCTCTAGACAAACCAGCTGATCGCTTAACGCTTGTTTAGCGTTCATTTCGGCCTTTCATTTATCTATTGAGTTCCGACCGCTTCATCCATTTATTGATGGTGTTTAAATGTTGTGTATTTAGACCGCATTTGATGCCCCATGCTGAGGCTGATGTTGCATTCATGATGTTCATTCACCGCAATTGGATTAAACCAACTTACACTTAAATTAGGTCTTTTTAAGTTAGATAAATTTCATTCCACTTTATTTGGTTTGTTCTGTCTAAGTGAATAATCTTCCATTAACTTGCACACGTTGCTTAGTCTAATTGTGGTTATCTTCCTTAACTTTAACACGTTTTTGGCATTTTTTGTCTAACTTTTGGGTATTTTGTACTTACTTCATATGGTAATTTAGCGAAGTTATGTCGGCATAGCTGTATGCTTTAATAGATCTGTTTTATTTGATAATCTCATTTCAAGTGATTGGCTGTTGTTTTACATCCCCGGTGTGGCTGTATTTGATGTGAACGTTGACAAGGTGCCTACCTGTCTATTACCCACTACCTCGTCCATACTGGTTCCAAAAGACAGTTGATCGTTGCTGCAGGTATCGGGGTACACGGTCGTCGTGGCCGTGCTAGGCTTGAAGAGTGGTTCCATGCACTCAGCTTGAAGTGGACTACGGTCTGCGCACCGCCTTGTGTGCGACTGAATCCCCAACTACAACATGCTTGTGTTTGCTTGTGAAGTAGTGTGGGCCGGATCCGTTGATGAAACATGGCTCCCATCCAAATGGATCCCGGTCTTATTCCTTCAGGTTTACGCTGGATATGGGGTGTGTGTGAGTGGAACTGTAGATAGTGCAGCGCAAGCCACCCATGGTCCCTTTGTAGGCGCAAGTGTCTTGTCGCTGTCCCCGTGGAAGCCGCTGTGACAGGCAAATCCGGAAACGGGTACGGCCAACCAACCATCTAGATCACATCGTTATGGCAAAATATTACTGCGAAATTCTCCACAGCTTCCCGATCCCTTCTTCAATCCCATTATGCTTGCACGTTCGTTCATTTGGAGATGTCTACCGCCCGCACGTCACAGTTTGAACTCCGGGCTTAGGCAGAACATGTGCTTTGTCGGTATATGGATGTAAGACCTGCCGTACTTATTAGAAAACAGTTCACTCCAGTGATTCGATGAACGCCTCCCTCTGTGGACTTCTTGCGACATTACTATTACTGGTGTAATGCAATGTGACAAATAGACTCATGCGAAGTAAACAGTGTATCATTTAGATTTACTAGTTCCTGCCTTCAGATTATTCCAAGCTATGCCTGGTCTCGTTTTTTTTCTCCTCCCTTGTACACTTCGCTTCGCCCCTGGTTTTCTAAAGAGGACAGTTCTTAAATCCAGGCCGATGACACAAAGACAATCGATGTATCGACGTGACAGCGAACTAGTGAATCGCTGGCATCATGTTTGGATCGACCTAGTGTTATTCTCGTGTTTGATTGTGTGCGAGTTATGTGCCTCTTTCTACTATATCCTGAGTATTTAGTCTGCACTGACATACTTTGCTTAATGACCCATTAGCTTCTCCCATTGTCGCATTCATCGCTGACCACTTCTTGCACACTTGATTGTTACTGATCTAGTCGTTGTCGTTTTGCTTACTTAACTCTAGTTACCTTGACTGTCAAACGCATCCACCCTGTAGTAACTCCGGTCGTTTGATTCTCAACTTGATCCCCCCCCCCATCTCAGTGTTTCGGGTCTCGTTTGCTTCGTTTTCATCATATTTGATACAATTATGTAGGTCACTCGGTGGCCGAAAGGATTGCACGCCTGACTCACAGTCCTTAGGTCACCGGTTCGAATTCGCGTAGAAGTGGGTGTCCTCACAGTATCTTCAATCCTCGCGCAACCCATGGTGGCCGCGTAACAGCGAAGCACCAGTACAGTGTACTGGCGTACTGCTGACGACCGATCATGGAGGCAGTGACTCCATTGCATTCCCTCCCTCATTTCGAACCGGTGACGTTTTCAATTCTCCTCAATTATCGTTGGATTATTTTTGCTCTTGCTGTTGTTTTGCGCCCTATGTCACGGTAATGCACCCACTATATGGATCGAAGTTAACTAAACTGAACTGCCTATTTCGTTGCAGGTGGCGGTGACACGGCGACATGTTGTGCCAAGTGGAACACGGAGGACAAAGTTAGCCACGTTAGCACCGGTGGTGGTGCTAGTTTAGAGTTGCTGGAAGGTGGGTTTGCATCCTATACGCCACACGCTCACTGAGCCTTGGTGTCTATTTATCTTGTCGGTGCCCGATCGCACTGCGTTGTCCTTTGCATTATCATTTTCCCATTCCAATCGGTCTCCATTAGACCTCGCTGCATTTTAAAAGCCACTACCCAGCTACCATCTGTGTGTGTCGGTTTTTCCATTGGCATTTAACTGGCACTTTCATTTGCCTACTATGAGCTATCTGGTTAATGCGCGACTGCATGTGAATTCCTTTCTGTCAAACCTGTTTGCGATGAACAAGCAGTGGGTATTACTACTTTCGCTTTGTTACACAACAACAAAACCGTTGCCTTTTTATCCATGATTTCTCTTTCTCCGCTCCTTAACCATCTGTGAGTTCATTTCGTTGTAGCTACCACGTCTACTTTTTCTATCCTTTTCTTTCACAGGTAAACAGTTACCTGGGATCCTCGCTCTCAGTGATGCATAGATTTGATGATACCACTAGTCGAATTCAACATCTTAGTGTTTTGTCATTGTTGATCTTCGTATTTCCGTACGCGACCAATATACAATTCCCCGCTCTTGTTGTTCTTTACTTCATACCTTGAAATAGCATGTGGAGTTTGCTTTACAACCTCGGTATCTGAACGCCAACGGTCGTCGCCACAGTAATCCGGATTTTCATCGATTATTCTCTAATCCTAATTGGTGCATTCATCTCTCAGGGGACGAGATAAGCGAATAAAGTCACAATGCTTGTCTTTTCTTACCGTTTGTTTGACAGACACTATAAATGCAACATACTCTTCGACGGATAAAGTTAAATCAAAACATATCGGGTAGTACACCTTGAGTGAGTTTGGGTACCGCTCTCTGGCTTACCACATGCCATTGAGCGTACTTGCTTGCAGTGTTCAATGGAGCGGCAAGCGTAAAGCTCATATACAGCTTGGGAAGGGGTAAGGTACAATGAACAATAACCCTGCAGGTGAACCAATCGACTGAGTGCACCAGAATACATGTAGTATATCTTGAGTGCTCTGGGTGGCCTTTCTATGCCCTCGTGACTGCAATCGTCATTTGCTGTACAACGTCAAATGCGGAGACATTGGTCGCAACCACAGCGACGGACCAGCTTGATTTTGCGTCTGTAGGTATTCCCGTTCAAGCAGCGGAACTGCACTCGGCGCAGTCTGGTTTTGGTAGCCTGGCAACACGATTTGAGATGGAACTCGTTTATTCGGCTTCCTTCGGGTTCGTGGGATTGGCGCCGCCTCTTCGATTTTGTCACATTTACGTCCTCGTTGCATGCACCGACACATTTGCGCACCGTCAGTCTTCGGACCGAAACGCAGTCTGTATCCGGATCACGGATGAAAGATCGCTGACTCGTCTGTCGACAACTTTGGTTGGCTGTGTCAACAAAGGAAACAATGCATCTTTGGTTACTTCTATTTATCAATATGCACTTTTCCTTCACGGGTTTTATTGCCTGTAAATACTATTCCCCTCCAGTGTATATGAAAGAAAAAATTCTTCTTACCATATCTGCTGTGCTTATTCCTTTCCCCTGTTTGCACAACCTGATCAATGTTAAAACTATTCTACAGTTCTTGTTTTTGCATGTATCTCACAAAATTTTAAGCACTCATATTTTCACAGACAGTTTCGCTTTATCCACCATTGCGGCTGTTTTGTTTTATAATCACATTATAGTCTCCTAGGGTATTCCTCTGCTCTTGCTAAGCAGTATTTCCATCAGGTGTTACTGTAAGCTCTCTGGAAGATTAATTTGTATTCAATATAATGTGTCTGCTTACCGTCGGACCACTGACCGACGATTTCAGCGGAGGCGTTCCTTATTTTCGTTTCACCCTTTTCTTCACAACCGGGAAGTATACCGATTGCGATTCCGTAGTGCTTAGCTTCAGGCGAACGACCTTCGGAGACAAGTTCCTCGTTTCCACTTGTTTGATCAACCGGAGCCCCAAAAAGGCGTGAGATGTCAATCTTTCTGTTGTTTATCTGTATATCTTGAAGGCAACCTGAAATTAGAGCATGTATCCACATGTACATCCTCATAAGATGTGACAAGACCAAATTATCTACCTAATCTCATTATTTAAACAGGAAAAATTCTATCTGTTCGGCCGCACATTACATTTATAGGTATACGTATATCCGTTTAAGAAGGTTGGTATCTATCGTCTCCATCGACCTTGGGACATCATTTCATCCTCTATCGTCCACTGCGGGACTCCGAAATGGTTACATGCTCCACAGCATGCAGCGATGCGTTTAAGCAAAGGCACCATAATGTTGATGGCTCCTTTATTTTCCACTTGTATCTCACCTTCAGACACCAAATGCCAGTCTTCCGTCTACGATCCCTAAATTAGTTGACGGCTGATTCAACATCATTGTGGTTCTGTCATCTGCACCTGTTTCGCAAGTGTCTATTGGGCCCCTACAATAAACAGCCCCATATCGGACCACGCTGCCCTGTGTCCGATGGCTTTCGACATACGGTAACATCTCCAAAGTTGACCACCTTCCACTAATTTACTCCTTTTTCCATTTCTTTAACATTCACTTTGTAAACCTTATGGGCTAAGACCACTGTATATTGACCACTTTGGTTCAGTTTTGTGAGCGGTTCACGTACGGTGGTTTTACTGTAATACCCTAATACATGTCTGTCAACCAGCTGCATCTGTACACTCACTCTTTACTCTCGGTGTTGACGTATGCTGTGCGTTCACAACTATGCTCAGCGATCCTCCAGTGGTTATCGAATCAGCCGCGGCTAGCTTGTCTTCTCTCTATTGGTTACACGCATCCCAAGACGCCTCTGCAGAAATGATAGGTCAGATTACAGTAGAGATCGCTTTCAACCCCAAAGTTCGACCCCGTGGTTTGATTAACTTCTTATGGCGCCCATTTGAAGACACTAATTAAGCTTACTTCGCTGATTAACACTAGACGTTGTTTGTTTGTGATTGACCTCTTCCTCCCAACTGAATGCAATCCTATTGCTACCACGTACACCTACGGCGGTCTTCTGACGCTACTTAAATGTGATACCAGTTCAGTGTTTTAGTTGCAGGGGATATGAATGTAAAAACAAGCCTTTTAAGCTTCACAAAAGCTCGAGTGGTTGAGAAGTTTGGGTTATAGCCTGAACGCACGGATACTGGCGAGCGTTTTCAAATGTGCGTTGATCATCTGCTATTTCCCAGCAGCGCTATCTTCAGGCACCTTCGATATCGATATGCCAACTGGTGTATTCCAATTGCTAGCTAGCGAGGAACCTAAATGGACAGTATTGCTGTAAGCGTCAAGTTATGTGGTTCCATCTTCCATAGCCACCCGTGTCAGAACACGTTCGGACTATAACCACAACTTAGTTCGTCGCTGAACCCAATAAAATTTAACGGAAAGGTTAGCATATGATTCCCTTAACTAATGAACAAGGAGCTGTCTTAGAACAATGGTTGGCTTACTAGGATGCCCTGTCTAATAAGCCTTCACATGCTTCCTGTAAAGGCACTGAGATTTGATGGAATTATAATTCCGCCACAATGCACGACGCAGGAGCTTTTTCTCGCACATCAGTCGTTCGCGCACGGGGTCTTGAAAATCCGAAAGACCGGCAAACATGCTGGAAGACAGTAGAAGAATTTTTGTCGTCTGTGAGCAGAAAGCTGCGAGACCATCCGTTAGATGTGAGTTTTAACAGAGCCTCCAAGTTGACGCAAAATCTAATGGCTTCAAAAGATTCAGAAAATGAAGGAAGCAACTTACATAGACTCTTTTGACTTGTCCGCACCTCTGGTCCCAGAAACATCCGTCAGTGGGGTAGTCAGTGACCGGACTGACGTCTTAATTCACGGTGAGGAAGACCACCTGGCCTGTTAAGCAGAACGCTTATAAGACCAGTTCAGTTGTCCTCCTACATCGTAGCACTTGCGTGCTCAGCTGACGCAGCTTGAACCGTGGCGACTTAACCCAGAGGTCTAAACTAGATCTGAAGTTAAAATGCCACCATAGCTTTCAACGGTGTCCACACCTTCGCTCTGAATTCTTTTTTATTTCTGCAACGTGGCCCAGCTTTTGTAACAGACGTGGGGCATCATGTCACTGATAGTGACGAAGTTACTGGCGTCCATCCTCGCCGTCGCCCTACTGCGGTATGGTGTATCCCAAACGAGATAAGAGCAGACGGGTTTCCCACATTTATAAGGCTTTGCAGATCTTATCATCACTTTGCGTCAGGTTCTAGAACAGCATGGTGCAGAACAGGCAGATTGTGGCTGTGTTCCACGATTTCAAAGGCTCATCCGACTCAGTTGATCGTTCCATCTTGTTCGTTCCGCTTGCCCGTAAACCTTTTCTCATGACACACGTAAGCATGCAACTTCCTATTTACTTTAACTTATCTTTAGGGCCTGTGGAGCTGTGGCCAAACATCTCTCAGATGACAATTGTCATTGGTCAAATTGATTATTTTTTTGCGATCCTGTTGTACACATTGATCAGACCACATAGTTGGACTGCACCTCGAATCACCGAGGAATATACCATTTATTTATTTATTCCACTTCTTGGTTTTTGTCCAGCTTTATCGTGTACTCCAACATGTGATGTTCATTTACAGACTCTCACGATGCCGACAGTGAAGTTTTGCCTGAGGGAACTAGTTATTATATTCAGGATTCTGGCTTGTAACCCAAACGCCGCCGATCCGAGCCTACGTAGGTCTGGGTTATCTTCCCGTATCCCTAGGCATTACTATTGGTAGTGCGCGGCATCGAAGCGTCGGCACGAAGTGCCATCATACTATTGACGCCCTTACGCGAATCGAATCCTCTCGTTGTTTGGTAATCACGAAAAAGAACCGTCGACCTTGGATAAACTCTGAGATGGTCCGAATTTTCGGCGTTCGCGTTGTACTTCCATAATGCCAGGTTCGAAGTGTTTGTTTGATTCACATATCTTGGCAGATGTATCACCGGCAGCTGACATTTACTAACTGGGATTGTCTTGCGCCCTATGAATTCGGCATCCTGACGCAAAAGCGCTACAATGAAGTTTGGCTGCTTCTTTCAAGCCAAGTCAAGAATGTGTTTCATACGCCCACGAAGGGGTTTAACAACTCTTCTAGTTTATGACCATTGTTGCCTGTGGAGCATTGGCGGGGTCGAGTGCTATCAGTGTTCGCATTGACAACATGCGATGACAAATGGCAGGCGGCAATCTTAACGTCCGTCCGCTTTATCAAATAGATCAGGATAAATTAGTCGCGTCAGTTCGAACACGTGGTGCGCATGATCACCCACCGCTTGCTGAGGATGACCCTGTTTCGCATGCCGAATCTGGGCTAGCGCATTGCTTGGGGGAAAGAGGAGGACGATGGCCAAAATGACAGCCGGGAATAAATTCATGAGGCCAAATTGGGTGTTAGGTCTATCTTACTTTTTTGACCGGCGTGCACGCAATTTACTCTGTCCTTGACTCCAGGTTACCCCATCCCGGCACAACACCTAGCTGTGTGGCCGATCTTTGATAGATAGCTTGAGGCA